AACCAAAAAAACAAGGGCATCCAAGTTCTTCTTACTGGTAATTGGACGGCATAATACCCGCGAAGTTGATCGGCTATGTCTACTCCACTCATGTGGTAGTTGTAGTCATCAATTATACAAGGTATTGGCAAAGCTTTTTTACTAGCAGTTCCAAAAACTGCACGTACTTTTGTAGCATTGGTGCTAGTTTCTCGAGGTCGACGTCGAACTCTTTCAACTCTATTTTCATTTTCAGTAATTTCGTGAATAGTGGTCAGCATGGTTACTGGACCGTTGTCCATCCACAAAACAGCAAGAACATCATCAACTACTACTCCGGATAATGTATCCCAATCTAACTTTTTATCTACTTTAAGTATTTTAGGGAAATGCGCACTATTTTTTCTAACTGTTCCGCACGCGCCAAAATTATTATTGCGCATATGTCGAAAGAGGTTAATAGATGAAAAAAAATTATCCATATATATATTGAAAGATTTATTTAAAGGTAATTGAGAAACAAGGTGATAAACATCGTTTCTAACTTTATTCAGATTTGCAATTTGTTTTACTTCTGGATGATTATGAATGCGCGAAGTAAAAATAAAGGAGTACGTGTAACCTGAATCACAAAGGGAGAGAATTTTGTACCCTTCCGGTGTAGGCTTGTTTTTAATTCTAACCATATGCATGCTTCGACCTGAAAATCTTGTGATCATTTCATCGATTGACATGTTGGATGATGGAATACAGATCGATTTAGATATCATTTGAACATGACTTGCCAATGGGTCCAATTTAGAAAACCAATATAAAGGTGGCATACTACAGTCTGAAATATGCATAAACTGTTTAATCTATATTTAAAAAAAAAAATTAAATAATTCATTGTAAATAAACTTGATATGGTAAATTCAATATTTACTTAAAAAAAACATACTTGTTCAAAACGAAGTATGGTCATAAAATTTGTTATCTTATGTTCTGGAAATTTATTATTCGTAACCCAATAATCTCTAATACTAGGAAATTTAAAAATACCAGCATATATCAATATTGCCAACCAAATTTTAAATTCTCCCACTGTTAATTCTACCTATTTTCGTCCTTCTCTAGCACCTTTTAAACAAGCATATTTATTGGTATTCTGCACGATTGTATTTATTTGTTCATAAGAAAAAAACATACTAAAAATTGAATATGGTGATGATAAAAAATTTTCATTTCTAGTAGGAGCGTTTAGTATAAATCCATGCATGGGTCTTGAATGTTGAAATACATTAAAAGGAGGAGGAATAGGAAGTTGTACATGAATTTCGGTTTCATAATTTTGACCACGATCACGGCCATGGCCACGACCACGACCACGACCAGAACCATGCTCTTGACCATAATTATGACCATCTCTATTATCTTGAATTTCATCTTGAGCGTTTTCATATCGAACGTCATAATTTTTATCATCTTCAGAGTCACTTTGTTCATAATGTTCATGGACACTACGTGATAATTCTACAATATATATGTCATCGTCATCCTGTTCGTTTAGAATTGAAGTTTCCATTGCAAAAAAAATTCGTGTGAAAAAAATTTTTTTTAAAAAAAAAAATTCAAAAGTTAACAAAAATACCTTACGTTGGGCAAAATTAAAGAAATTCTTTAATTGGTTAGTTTCGCCCTTTTCGAAACAATGGTAAGTTTGCAATTGATTAAATATGTTTAATAGAATGTTGATCAATATTTATCTAATACCAAAATGTGATTGGACTATTTTTATAAAAAAATACAAACCAATTTACATCTAAATTTAGAAATTGCAGGCAAACTTGCCTGCAAGACCGTTTAAGGGATAGTGTGTAAGAAAATCGTAAATTTACGTAAAAATTTTACGTTGGTTACGTAAATCTTATGGTGCGTAAAAAACTTGTAAATTTATGTAAAATTTTTACGTGAATTTACGATTTTCTTATGTACCGTAAGATTTACGTAGTTTTACGCTAAATTTTACGTAGGTTTATGATTTTCTTACGCACCATAAAAACTTACGAAAGTTTACACATATATATTTTTGCTGATGTTATACTCTCGATACTATTGGTTCTAATATATTGTGAATTATAGTATACATGTTCATCTCGTCATCACAACTATTAATCTGACAGATAAACCTCAATACTCAAACTTTCTTTTATTCAATGTTATAAAAATACAAACTTTGGTATAGTGTACTACTTTTCATAAACTGGTTCGTTTTTCTTTTATAGACAAAATTTTTTAAAAATATATTTTTAAATAATTTACTGTATTATATACTTTCATTATAATGAAGTAATCAAACTGAGAAATATTTTCACTATAGCTTTATTGGGAGAATACTATTTCACTATATCAAGTTAAGTTCAATAATTCAAACTCTTCATTATATCAAATCTTCATGATATTGTATTTACTATAATGAAAGTGAATCTTCACACTACCATGAATTCACTATATTAAGACTAAGCTATATTAGGTAATTTGAGTTATCTTTATTTTTTTTTAATAGTGAATATCTGGATTTTAATGGTTATATCACAGTAACTATTTGTTTTAGCAAACCATTATTTGCATTTATTTTTCATTATTTGAAGAGCCTGCTATATCTGTAACCTTTGTTAAACGTGCTATTTCTTTTTTATTTGTAGCAGAATATCATCCTATCCAAGATTGAATGGTTTGCTTTGATGGAACTTCTTCAGGACTAAGTATACTCTCTTTAGCCATTTGTGATAATTCATCAAACATTTCTTTTGCAGAATTTCGCTTGCTATAATCTTCTTAACCTGCCATAAACATGGCTTTCAACAACTCAAAAACATTAGGTGCTATTCGTTTGCCACTTCCTTTTTTTCCATATTTTTGATTCTCTTTTAATACCCAACCTGTATCTAATAAGAACCATTTTGAAACAAATCTATAATAAAAAAAGTAATTAGAACTATTACAAATAATAAAATGTTTCTCTAGTCAATTAATAATTTGTTGCTTCAAATTATTTGAATAATTTTGTAGACATGCATATTTACAAAATCATGTAATATATATAATAGCAAACCTAATTCTAAAGTTTTGACTGGTATGTTCAAATACTTACGATTGTTTAGTAGTATACGCGAGAACTATATCATTAATAGGTAAATGATTTTTTCGTTCATTCAATTCTTTCATTGTCTCAAAAAACATTTCTTTTTGTAACAGATTAAGAAGATCAAGACGTGATGCATTATCTAAATAGTTTATTTTGCAGGAACTTAGTTCATCTTTTATTTAGTGTGATTGCTATCTTCATGGATCCTAGTTAATATTGTCACTAACTTAAATGTGAAAAACAAAATTAGTAATTTTAATTTTTCATCTATTATAAATTAACAAATAGTTTTTTAACTATTTACTTGTTGTTTAATAAAGAAGTACTTTCCATGAACTTTTTGGAGTAGAATGTTCGGATATTTGTGGTGCAAGTTGAGTTAAAATTATTTTAGTAACTTTTGCAATTTGAGCTGAAGTAAAATTTTTCCATGTTCCAAAATTAGGTAATGCTCGTACACGAATATGACTAGCATAAGGACCATTATTTGGCCATTGCCATTCTCCCCAATTCGACACTCCTGTTAAGGTTCTAAATCTATTATCTTTTTTTACACAATTAGGTTGAATGTGTGCTATTGATGTATATGCCATATCTTTTATAGCTAATTCAATGTCTTTACTAGTATTTATTCCAAATCCTAGTCGTACATGCCTTTAGATAGCATGCGATATCTTGATTAAATCAAAAAAAAAAGAAAATTAGGTTCAAATATTAATTGATATAATTTGAGCTAAAAAAGATACTATACCTAGGCATGATGCGAATCAATTGTAGTTTTTGCTTTGCCTGCTTCCAGAAAGATCCACTTTTTAATCTCGATTTCATATTATTCATACCATTGATTTACAATTATTATCATTTCTGTATTATGATAGTGTGGGCTGTTGTCTGACATTATAATAATCCATTTAGGCTTTTTTGGTATAGTAGTTAATACAGCATGCAATGAAGATGCCATGAACTATGCATCTTGACGTAAATCTGCTGACTAATGGTCAAATGCATTTATTTCAAATTTAGTACTATTTGTTCTCATGTATACTAGTATACTATGAAGTGTCCAACCCCTTTTACCAAAGAAGTTTCTTTTTGTTTTGCATGCTTGGGTAGGTAAAATTTTCATTTTATAATCAATCAAAATTAAAGCACTATTTGAATCTAATTCTGCAAGGCTTGTATTAAACTGTACATTAGTATATATTTTTCAAGTTTGATGTGATAGATAGTAAAGCAATTGTTTCTGATCTTCTTTAACTTCATTTGATTTTGCTACGGGAAGCTGAGATTTTAAATCAGCAAATATTTCAAAAATTTTAGAACATTCATCACATTCAATGTTATGAGATTGGACACAATTGCCAAAAGCATATGACAAACAGTGATTTATACACGTATTATGTTTTATATTTCTGGCTATATCTACTTTTATATGATTTTGATAGTCACATTTTAAGTACCATTGAATGGCTTCTAATTTTTTTATCCAAAGTTCCTAGTAATAGATTGCTAACTTAATATCAAAAATGATTTTTTTTTTATATTGCTTTCAAGATTTAATAGATTAAAAGATCGTATACGCAATAATTCTTATCAAGATTCATTGCAATTACTTATAATATTAAAGATAATTATTTGTTTTTCAGAGTTATTTAGTTTTTGAATAATTAGATTTTTCAAATCTTTAAAAATTTCATATCCGTATTGATTACATATAGTACATAATCCTCCTAAATTTTCACGATATTGGAATAGTCTTTTTTTTAACTGAGTCATAAAGACTGTTCTCTTCATTCCATTTGGGAATGTTTGAGAAAAGTGTTCCCAAAGATGTTCTTTATTGTTATTTAAATATTTAATTGCATGTCCCTCTTTATCTGTTTTGTATAAACTCATATTCACATTATTTTTATTATTAAGAAATGTTTCTAATTCTTCTTTTAATTTTTTTGGCAAGATTTGTCTTTTTATTTTAGGCTTAGATGATGATGGACTACTATGTCCATTTATATTACTATAAAGTTTTGTTATGCTAATTAAATTTGGGAATATCTAAAATAAGTATAAAATATATTATTATTTGAATTTAATATTTATCTTAAGCAATCTCTAATACCTTCAGATTTTTTTGCAGATCTTCATATTTGAAACTATCGGCTATTATAGATAATATATGTCTTTGGCCATTTGTTCTACATGGATTCTCTGCAAGAGCTTGAGCAAAGCAATTCCAAAATATCTTAGTTGTATTGAAAACATGGTTAGGTATAGATTGTAAAAATCTTTGTTCATATAAGAATTGCAAATTATTTTTGTCTATAATTGAGTTTTCTGAATGTGTCCAAAATTCATACTAACAAAAGTTTGATAAATATTATTATTTGCTAGATTATATGAAAATTATAGATACAAATATACTGATATAGCTTTAAGTCACATTTTTGCAAATGTATGCATAATATAAGATACAACTAAGTTATATCAATTGATTTGTATCTATAGTTAAAATGATATCAAAAGTCTATATTCAAGGTAGTGATGAATTTGAATTGTTTAGACAATTAAGATTAGTTTATAATATGTTTGTAATTTGGATGTAAAATTTTATTTAATTTGAATACAAGAAATAATAAATATTAGATAAATTACTATTATTTTTTTGAAATTATTGTAAAAGGTTTATTTATATTGTAACTAGAATATAAAGTAATAATATCTAATAAATAAACATAAAATTAGAAGTAAATAGAAATTGTACTATTAAACAGATTATACACATAATTTAAGATAAAGAAAGTAAAATAAAATAAAATAACATTTTGTTTTTAATCATGTAATTATTAGATTATAGACTTTTGAAATTTTTATATGAATGACAAAAAAGAAAAACCAGTAAATTAATTCATTACTTTTTACTTCATTCGTATAAAACAGATCTATTAATAAAAAATAATATCAAGAGCCAATTATTGCATAAATTATATTTTAAAAGCAGATAGTAAGATGAAAGTAGTAAATTAATCTACAGGTTTTCTTTTTTATTACTCGCATATATATATATATTTTTTACCTGAGATTCATTACGAGAAAATAGTATAATTAGACTGCAACCCGTAGCTTTAAACATAGCATGCCAAGCTCGAATTTCTCGTTCAGAAAAATTATAATTGCTAGGGTATATTTTTTCTAATATGCTATATAATTCTATAATCGTGCTTTGATCTAACCAATTAATAAAAACACTATACCAGTTAATAGCTGAAATTGTATATTTATGAAGATGGTGATTATATAATTTTGTCATTTGTAATTCATTTTTCCAGTCCTTGGGTAAACACTTTAAGTTGTGCATGTTATTTAATTGATCTTGAGTAATATTATTTCTTAGTCCAAAAAGCTCGATCCCATCTGCATTAGTTAAAAAATTGGCATTTTTCCAGACCGTGCTAGGAGTTTTATTATGAAATTCACCCAATAGTTCATTACCACAATAAATCTCTATATGACAACTATCTTTATCAATAGTTTGCCAAATTAAAACTCGTTGCTTTTTTTTGTTTTTTGTATAAAAATAAAGAAATGAAGATGAATAACCCAGTCCAGCTCCAAGAAAGTTAGAATCTTCTGAAGTTCCAAGACTATGAATCCAAATTTGATGTTTATCATAATCAATTTTAAAAGGATAAAAAGGAATATCTCAGAGTAGCTCTTGCATAATTGATTTTTTATCATAACTTAGCATTAAAGAACCAGAAAATTTAGAGCTAACATGAAATATATATTGATAAAGTTTAAATACCGCATTAGTAGCTGAATTTTTTACAGATTCTGAAACTTCTTGTGATTCACAACAATAATTAGGAATATTGTTTCCTTGTATAATTCAAGTAATAAATTGTCTTCTATTTAGTTCAACTGCAATTTTTTGCTCAACTCGAAGTGGAAACAAACCAGTATCTACCAAATCTATACTAGTCATAGAAGTCCACCATTCACGTACATGTCATCCATAATGTAATTCAGGTATTAAAACTTCTAATGCTAGAAGTTGTGTATTATAGTCTTTACGTTTAGACATATAAGTAAGAACAGCTAGATTCTAAAGCTTATATATAAAGATATATTTATCTTATCCCCAAAATTTATTATTTGATAATTAATATAGATCTATTATTGATTGACAAATCATGAAATAAACTTTTAATTATCGGCAAATTTTTTTTAACACTATTAAGTTCAGATTTGGTAAACTTTTTATTCCAAAAGCTTCTTACAGTATTCTCTAAAATAAAAGAAAATTAAAATTAGTTTTATATCTTTTAATTTTTATTTATAAAAATATATTGTATATCTTTGATTATAGCTTCTAAGTAATTTGGATACACCAAATATAAATTCTTCTTTTTTTTTTTTTAGCTCTTTAACAGTCTTGTCAGAGCTCAAATATAATACTTTATTAAACAAACTTGGATGAAATAAATAATAACAGTATGAAAATTGCAAGCCCAACATCACTTAGCTGCATTTAGTGTGCCCAAGAGTGACTTGTCGCACCAATCTATATATAAGTTAGAAGACCTTGTCAGCCTGCCAAGAGTTTATCTCTTCATTCTTACTTTCTTTATTGAAAGCAAAAAAAAATAATGTTTTGTATTCTCAATACTAGAATGTACATCAAAAAAAGAGTTTATATACAAAAAAGACACAAAACAAGAAAGAGAAAATAATAAAGAATAAAAATGGAGGAAACAGAAAATGTAAAAAAAGAAAAAAACAAAGAGATAAGCCCTGACAAGTTGAACAAAAAAAAGCTATTTTCTGTGAGAAATATCAGCTATCTTTATTAAGAAATAGCATAAAAACAAATATAAAAAAAAAGAAAAAAAGGAGAATGCACTATTATAACCTATGTCAAACAAGTATAAAAATTATATAACAAATACAATATTTGTATATCTCTACTATAAAGCTTCATTTTAACGTTAGTATTTCTTTCTGATCATACAATTAACTCTGGAATATTTGGCCTGACCTAATCTGTATTTCAAGCCAGGTACTGCCACCATTTGTAAATCCGTATTTCAAGCCACCTGCTATCACTATTAGAACCTGGGACCTGTTCAAATTAGTAGTATCATATCTGTTGAATACATAGTTGTAATCTACTCAGCTTTTTGAATTTGGAATATAAACAATGTCGATCTTTTGAAGGAGGTAAGCCAAATCTCCACTTTTTATTTAAAAAAAAATTTCAAGAACAGCAAAAGTTGTGGTAGATAATTTTAAAAGTAAAGAGCAACCACTTGCAAAACTTATAAAAAGTATGTTGAAAAATAAAAACTTTTGTTGTTTCTTTTGTCTTTTCTGTTTGACTCTTAAGAGACTTTGTCAACAGAGACCCTCCTCTCCAGAACACTATCTTTACTACAATTTTCTATACAAGAGTACCTCCTGCCAGTTATCTTGTAACAAAATGCTTTTGGCTTGCATGTTAAATATGTAAAAAAGTTGAGAGAGTAAAAAAAACATTAATCTCTACAAAAATCACCTTGTCAGAATACAAAGCAACATTATCTTAAACAAAATTTTTATTTTTCTTTAGCCAGAAAATTTGGAACAAGTAATCGTCAGAAAGAGTTCGTTGTTTTATAAATTCTTCTTATTTTTTTTTTTTTTTAGCTCTTTGACAGTCTTGCTGGAGCTTAAATACAATACTTTATTAAACAAACTTGGATGGAATGAATAATGACAGTATAAAAATTGCAAGCCTGACATCACTCAGCTACATCTAGTGTGCCCAAGAGTGACTTGTCGCACCAACCTATATGTAAGTTAGAAGACCTTGTCAGCCTGCCAAGAGCCTATCTCTTCATTTTTACTTTCTTTACCAAAAGCAAAAGAAAATAATGTTCTGTATTCTTAATACTAGAACATATATCAAGAAGAAAAGAAGTTTATATACAAAAAAGAAACAAAACAAAAAAGAAAAAATAATAAGGAAAAAAAATGAGAGAAACAGAAAATATAAAAAAAGAAAAAACAAAGAGATAAGCCCTGATAGGTTGAACAAGAAAAAGCTATCTCCTGTGAGAAATAGCAGCTATCTCTATTAAAAAATAGCACAAAAACAAATATAAAAAAAAAAAAAAAAAAAAAAAAAAAAAAAGCACTATTATAATCTATGCCAAGCAAGTATAAAAATTATATAACAAATACAATATTTGTATATCTCTACTGTAAAGCTTTATCTTAATGTTAGTATTTCTTTTCAACCATACAACTAACTCTGGAATATTTGGCCCAACCTAATCCATATCTCAAGCCAGGTGCTGCCACTATCTGTAGACCTGTATCTCAAGCCACCTGCTGCCGCTATTAGAACCTGGGACCTGTTCAAATTAGTAGCACCATATTCATCAAACATATAGTTGTAATCTACTCAGCTTTCTTGATTTGGAATATAATAAATTCTTTTTATTAGAGTAGTGATATTTATTACATAATAACTTTTTACTATAGAGGTACCCCCTCTTCCCAACATAAGTCAACTCTGATTGGCTGATTTAAAAATAGTTATAATATATTATATATATAATTATATTACTATTACTAGTTGTAAACCCGTGCAATAATGCACAGGAATAAATATAAAATTTTTAAATATAATTTTAAAATAAAATAAATGTATAGTAAAACTTTTATAATTATTAAGCTATAATAAACCCGTGTGATATACGGAAAAGATTTAATATAAAATATAAATAAAAATTTAAATCTAAAGCAAATTAATTTAAATAATTTTATCTCTAATATAGATTATAATTTGGTTTTGCTTA